TTCTTTTCAACGGTTAAGAACTAACCGGCAGCGCGGGTTAGGCGCAGACTTATCCTTGCTTAGGTTTCAGGATAGAATACCCCAGAATCAGACTCTGGTGTCTTTTTGTGCGGAAAAAGACTAAACCGGCAGCGCGTGTTAGGCGCAGACTTATCCCTGCTTAGGATTCGGGATAAACTTCCTATACCTGTGAGGCATAGATTTTGGGATTTGAAAAAAATGGTGTCTTCTCTTGGGGCAGAGACGAACCCGAAATGGGAGAGGAAGAATTTTATATTCTATCTCCCGACAATGAAGAAGAAAAATTTTATATTCTATCTTCAACTGGAAAGGAGACTCGAGGTGGGATCTCCACCCCCAGAATCCGGAAAGGTGAAACTGAGAGTGAGATCTCCACTCCGAGAATCGAAAAGATTCGGATAACCCTAACTGTCGGAAGGTTTGATTACCGAACTAAAGATGAATTTCTCGTTTATCGAGAGTGAATTATGGTTTTGACCCTAACTGTAGGAAGGTTTGGCCAAACAGGAGTTTGAGGTGACCCTAACTGTAGGAAGGTTTGATCACTCGATTTGAAAGTGGACCTCTCGTTCATTGGAGGAATCGAGAGGGGATTTTGACTGTGGTCCTAACTGTAAGAAGGTTTGACCAAGTGGGTGTTTTGAGACAATCCTAACTGTAGGAAGGTTTGATCGCTCAATTTGTGGACCTCTCGTTCATTGGGGGAATCGAGAGGGGATTTTGACTGTGGTCCTAACTGTAAGAAGGTTTGACCAAGTGGGTGTTTTGAGACAATCCTAACTGTAGGAAGGTTTGATCGCTCAATTTGTGGACCTCTCGTTCATTGGGGGAATCGAGAGGGGATTTTGACTGTGGTCCTAACTGTAAGAAGGTTTGACCAAGTGGGTACTTTACGTCCAGACTCTAACAGAGAGAGTGTTGAGTGCATAGACATGGTGAGAATGGGAGTTCTTATTCATTACATTGCTGTGGTTTTGGGAACTTCCCATTACATAAATCGTCCATCCCCCAGTTTCCTCTGCGGAACTGGTTCGGACACTATTATCGGTTAACTAACCGGGTTATCCTTAAGAATATTAGCTTAATATTCTCCAGGAACTTCCCGTCAAAAGTGGG